CTCTGCCTGCATCTCTCTCTCTCTCTCTCTCTCTCTCTCTCTCTCTCTCTCTCTCTCTCTCTCTCTCTCTCTCTCTCTCTCTCTCTCTCTCTCTCTCTCTCTCTCTTTCTTTCTTCAGCACATCTACACAAATACCAAATAACAAGTTTTATCAAATCAAACTTACGTTCATCAAGGAACTAATTATCTTTCCCGTTGCGACACACGCCAGGCGCAGCCCCAATGTCATCCAAGGTCAGGGCAAAGTCACTTACGTGTATCACCTGATCGGTCTTGGCGAGGGCGCCCTCGAGCGTGGCGGACGCGGGGTCAGCCTGCCACAGACTCAGGTATCGGTTCATCTCGGGCACGCTCGTCGGGTCAGGCAGGCCGTCGCAACGCATCATCCGCTCCCACTGCGCATGACGAGGTACATGGCAGATCGATGAAAGGATGTGGGAAGTTGTCATGAGATTTTTCATTAAGTTTTGATTCTTTAATTGTGTATTATTTTGGCAATGTTATTTGAGAGAGTTACTGTGCGTGCATGACGGATTCCGTGAGGGGTTATGAAGCAAGTCATCAACACCGTTGTAAATGCTGTGGGTGATTAATGAACGAATATGAAAGGTGTCAATTCAGTTTTAAATGACACTTATTTTCTCCTTTTGCTTTCTTGGTAATTGCTGATAAGCCTGAGAAATGGATATACCACTGAGCTATGACACCCTCATATATATGATAGTTTCTGTAAATGGATGTGATAGTTAGAAACGGATGCATCCTCCATTCCTTCCCTTTACCCCCTTCCTCCTTCACCCTGACTCCTTTCCACCTCTTCCTCTAGCTCTTTCTCCTCCACCTCCATTTCCTTCACCTCCTCCTCCTCGTCGTCCCCTTTCTCCTCTTTTTTATTCTCCATATCCTCCCCATTCTCTTTCCCTTCCCTTCACCTCCTCCTCCTCCTCCTTCCTCTCTTCCCTCCTCCAACCTCTTCCTCCTCATCCACCTCCTCCTTCAAATGAAGCCTCCACCAACCTTCTCTTCCTCCTCCTCCTCCTCCACCCCCACCTCCTCCTCCTCCTCCTTCTCTTCCCTGCACCTACCTCCTCTTCCTCCATGATCCTGTCCCTGGTGAGCTCCATCGTTTGGTCGAGCTCCTGAAGCAGAGCTCCCGTGGCCCTCAGCTGCTCCTTCCTCTGGCGCTTCTGCTCCCGCCGCTGCTCCTCCCGCCGAGCCGCCTCCTCCGCCTCCTTCTGCTTCCGAGCCTCCTCCTCCTCGGCCTCGCGGATCCTGATTTTTTTTTTTTTTTTTTTTTTTTTTTTTTTTTGAGGGGGTAAGGGGAGACAGAAAGATTGGAGACTTGTTTCGTTTGGTAGGGAGTTTAGTTGTGTTTTTTTCTCTTATTGTATTTCTTTCCTTTGGGAGATGGGTAGTGAGAGAAATTTATAAGATGTATTGACAGTATGTCTATCATTTTCTTGCCATAAAAAAGGAACAGAGCACCTACCGTTCCTCTCCCACCAAAGAAACGCCAGGCGCCATGGCAAAAACAGATAAATAAAACAAAACCCAAAATAAATCTTTCCCGTTTCCATTCTCTTCATGTCTTCCTCTCTACCTACTTTGCCTCTTCCGCTTCTCTTTGCCGTCTCTCCTGTTCTAATCGACGTAATTTCTCTCTCTCCTCTTTGCTCAGTTTCCTCGTTCCGCCCTGTTGCTGTAACGTGATTTGATTTACCTTCACTCCTTCACTTTATCGTGTGGGGAGTAAAACTACAATACGACAGAACTGTGTTTGTTTGTTTTTTACTTTAGTCACCCATGCTAGTCGCGGATTGTAGAAAACGGGACATAAGTTCACCGCTTGGGCATGACATAGGCTGTGAAATTTTCTTCTTTTTCTACTTAGGAGTGTTTAGATACTTAGTCCTGTTTATTTAGTTCGTTTGGGTGAGACTGGGAGAAAATTTAGGGTAAACAGACCGTTTCCACAATCATAGAAATTACTTAGTGCATGCATTTTGGATCTAAAAACCCGTCCGTTGTGAAATGTTGCCTGGTTATTGCATTCTTTTTGATGCATTAAAATAATTACATTATTAATCTATAGTATTACTGACATGCGTATAGTGTGTGTGTGTGTGTGCGTGTGTGTGTGTGTGTGTGTGTGTGTGTGTGTGTGTGTGTGTGTGTGTGTGTGTGTGTGTGTGTGTGTGTGTGTGTGTGTGTGTGTGTGTGTGTGTGTGTGCGTGCGTGCGAGTGTGTGTGTGTGTGTTTATGTGTGTGTGTGTGTGTGTGTGTGTGTGTGTGTGTGTGTGAGTATACGTGTGCATACGTGTATGTGTGCGTGTATGAATGTGTGTTTATGTCTGTTCACACGTTTTACTGCATACTCTCCCTTTTTCGTGTATATCTCCAGACCTATGCCTGATTCAGTTCGTAAAATTGCGCTGTATATCATTACATTCCCATGCATCTTTTTCAGACTGCTTGCCACCAGCACCCACGGAAGAATTCTGGAATACCTTCAATCATGCACTTCATTGTTCATGGCATTAAGGACAGCATCAGTACAAAGAACTAACATTTTACATGAGAGGTAATAGATGTCATAATGCAATATTCAGGCTCAATTTAGACATACATTTCCATCCAAGTATTTACGTACCTGAAATACTCCTGAGGTGTCATATGTCGCTGTAAAGAATAATTTTGACAAACTTGTAAGCGTATGCGGTGAAAAATAATGAACTGATAGAGTGATATAAGCATCCAACCAACTGCAAAAGGACGAGACATGAAGCTGACTAAACAATGATCATTCTGCAAATATAAATCGATTATTAATACCGTAAGCCGTGTTTTGAAAGCAATTATGAAGAAAAGCAGTATTGATAACATTAGCACAAATACAATAAAAACGAAAACAACGAAAAAATTAAAGTATAAAAAAAACATTGGCATCTGCATGACACCATACATTTGAATTAGCCACACAGCGCTACGCATGCATAAAATGCACGTTGAAACCCCAGACCTGTTAATAAATACCTAAAATCATGCATATGACCTTTCTCCTATGATGCCAGGCACTGACGAACATGTATAACCCCTACATACTTAGCAGCAAGTACACTACGCTCTTCATACACCTTTCTGTTGCATATGCCTCATGGATTGTGCTTCCAATGTGTTAAATATCTAATGTAATTTTTATATTTCATATAAGTTATTATCTATCAGTCACAGAGTTAATATTCATATCCAGAAATATTACATATCTATTCATTATGGGCTTGGTGTGGAGAGGAATTATATTCAGATGACCTTCCTGATTTTGCACTATTAATCGGTAAGAATCTGTTGTGTGAGTCTGAATACTTGCACTTATATAAGTTTCCAGTAAAATTCAACATTTGCACAAAGGAGAAATTCAGCATAAAACCAACTTTTGGATCCATAAACTATAAAAAACATGAACATAATAACGGCGATTTTTTCATCTCTCAAATTAAATGTTCACGCAAAAAACACGGTTGGTATTATGCTAATGTTTAACATTTGTACATTGGAATGGAGCACATACATTTTGTTAGATACTAAAATCTTGAAATATATTATCTTAATCTACTGAACGGATATCCGTATTCACAACAACAAAAAATTAAAGAGCTTAAAATACCTTAGAAATAGTTATTTCCAAGTACTCTGTGACATGAATTAAAGAATACAGCCTATCTTGCTACGCGTGCTAACTGAAAGGCGCTCAATAACATATGTTGGGCCGCGTTCGATAAGGCCAGACAAAGATAGACAGCCTTTGGCATACACAGCAAACATGATGTCACAGTATGACGTCATTTTACACTACGGAGTTGGCATGAATCTGGTGGAAGAAAAAGTAGAAGAAAACTGATCTAATTTAATTAGGAGACACCACAGTACTCTTTCCATAGGCTTCATTACTATTAACGTTTGGTGGGAATTTAAAATTTGCTATAAGCATAATCTCAAAGGGTTGATGACTCAAGTGTAGTGACAAACATGCATACGAATATGTGTATATACATGCTACGGGTGTGTGTACTCTGTGTGTGTGTGCGTGTGTCTGTCTGTATGTCTGTCTATATGGCTGGCTGGCTGGCTGGCTGTCTATCTATCTATATATCTGTCTGTTTATCTATTTATTTATCTATCTATCTATCTATCTATCTATCTATCTATCTATCTATCTATCTGTCTGCCTGTCTGCCTGTCTGCCAGCCTGCATGCATGCATGTATGCATGTCTGTTTGTATGTCTGTCTGGCTGGCTTGCTGTCTATCTATCTATCTATCTATCTATCTATCTATCTGCCTGTCTGCCAGCCTGCATGTATGCTTGTCTGTTTGTCTGTGTCTGTGTGTGTGATGAACTAAATACCAGCACAGTAACGTGTGCACCTGGATAAGATTAAACATATTTAGCCAAGTGCACAGTTCTGTCCCTATGTATATATGCATGTGTATATATATAACGTATACACACATGCATAGGTGCATGCATGAAACATACACAATCACATATGCACATAGGAAGATGCATGATTACATAACAGCATGCAAACATACATTAATTGACAAAAGTACAAATACCAAAGCCATAAGCGCTTATACATGAATATACATACACGCAACTACTGTACATTATCATACATAAACATATATTCAAGAATCCATGGGTGTTAGTGTTGTTTGTGTATGTCAGTGCTTAAAGTGATATGTCTTTAAGACATAACTGACACAGAAAGTATCCAAGTTTGCCGCTTACCTTAGGAGGCATATTGCGAAATTTACCAGTCAATTATTTCTTATCCCTCTCCAAAAAATGCAATATATTCCTGCCAGAAAAAGATATTCTCGTTTAACGGTCTCCTTCAGAAACACAAGATAGCGTCGTGGTTTCCATAGCAACCGCTAGTTCCTGCCGGCGCCGCTAGATGTCCGCGCGGCTGAAAATCAGCTGTTCCAAACAATAACAAAAACAAGAGAAGGAAACTGCATGACGTGAGAAGAGTCAGGCGCAGAGAAGGACAGTCAGGCAAGCAGTCAGGCAGGAAGGTCACCCTGGAAAAGTCATTGGATGGACGCTTAGGATCACGTGGTGAGGAATGACCTGATTTTAGGAAGGAAAGTCCCTTTTCTCCGGTTTGAGTTGGCTTTAAAGGCCGTTTGAGAACTTTATGCTCGTGTTTTTAAATATTTTTTTTTCTTCGTTGTATTTCATAACTGTTCTGCTCTTGTAATATTGCATCATTGAGTGCCGGGTGGATAGCTGAAGCAATGGCCATTCCTTTTTTATTTTTATTTATATTTTTATTTAGTAATTCACAGGGCTTGATTACGATGTTATATGCGTAGCATTTGCTTCTCTTGACGTCGTTACATCATCTACTGCAGTGTTTGATCTTATCGATTATGTCAGTTGTGTGAGAGGAAAGTTCTTTGAAGATGAGTCAAAGACATTTCTTTATTGATAATTTTTTTTTGTTTTTGTTTTTTTGTAGATACTGATTTTCATTTTGCATTTTTCTGTTTTACAATGTCAGTGATATTAGGAATAGATTCTTGCAGAATTGCAGTAAGATCATTAAAGTGTTTGGCTATAATACCATACTCTTTGTTAGTGATAGTTAGATAGTTCTAGTTCATAGGTAACACATTTTTTAATTTTTCTTACATTAGCTGTGATTTTTTTTCCTTGTTTCTTTGATCTTTGCTACTTATCCTTGTTCTAAGTTGTATTATTTTCATTTCTATTTTTACTGCATATTTTCAAATTCAGTTTATTAGTTATCACTAGTAAGAGCAGTATTATAACTGCAATAATAATATCTCTAACCTTAAACTTGTTCCTCAAATTAACTCAAATTAGGTATTCTACTTAGTTATTTTGCATTAGTCATTGTTAAGTGTGTGTGTGTGTGTGTGTGTGTGTGTGTGTGTGTTTCTCTCATTTGCTGTTTGTTTTATTAGTATTTCAGTCTCATCTTCATCTTTTTGTTCTATGTGTGGTAGATCTGTCATGTACTAAACAAGAAGTTGGTTATACAATAAGATTTTCTTAATTACAGAAATTTTCAATAGCCGTCATCATGGCACAAAGGTCACAGGTTATCCAGCTGTATAAAAATGTAAGTATGCTTCCAGATAGTATACTGTATAAAGAAGTTATTTATCATACATTTCTTAGCAACATAGACTCATAAACTCATTAATGAAAGTCATTTATCATATGCCATTACTTTAAAATAACTTAATGAATCTTAAAGTCATTCATCATTTGCTTCTACACAACATAAAGAATCATATCTATGATTACTTTGATTTTTTTTCTTTTCTTTTCTTTTATTTTCTTTTATTTTATTTGAATCAAATAATAAATCACTCATGGAAATGCTTAATGATCTGTATGTTTTGGGGGGTATATATTTCATCTTATTCTTAGATAATTTCCTTATTAGCTATAAAGGTGAAATGACTGGGTCCATTTTATTTACCAAGTTGAAGATTATATTGAAATTTTCAAAACTAATGACAAAAGGAAAGAGAAATCAATAGATAAGAATAAACTTGATTAGAGAATATTTGCAGATATGATAATGTGCCTTCTAAATATTACTTTCCCTTTTGTATCTTTCCAGTACTGAGTTCAGTTTAATTAATTCAACACAAATGAAAAGTTACATGAAATTTAAAGCCATGTCAATTTAACACAATTTACATGTCACATCTAATATAGTGTCTGGATATATAATTGCAGCTTCTCTACCTTGGCCGCGAGTACCCCATGGGGTATGAGTACTTCCGTGAGAAGCTCAAGAGAGCTTTCATGAAGAACCGAGAGGTGACCGACCCTGAGCAGATCAAGGTCCTTATTGGTCGTGGGGAATTTGTCATCAAGGAGATCGAGGCATTGTACATGCTCAGGAAGTATAGAACCATGAAGAAGAGGTACTATGAGGACTAAGCATGAGAAGAAATGCCAATGCAAAGATTGAGGTTGCTGTTGATAGACGAGATAGAGAAAAATAATCAGGAAGACATTCTGAAGAGAGCCTTCTTATTTCTTGTCATAATATATAGTTATGATGAAGACTTAAGAAGTAGAAGAAACAAAGAGAATGTGTGCTATAAGGATTGAAGAAGGTGATAGATGCTAAAAGGAAAAGGAAGAAAGAAAATGACATTGTTAAGCAGAGTAAAGAAAAAGACAGAGAGATGAAAAGACTTAGACCAACATAAAGGATAGCAAAGGCTTCTATGGAAAAGTGAAAAAAGAGATTGAGGAAGAAATTATTAAAAGGAACCTTTTTTCTTAGCATAATAGTGTTGTTTTTTTGTAGGGATGTAGCTTATAGTAGACTAAGAATTGTTCACTCATGTTCCCCCACAATGTGTGCTTTCTGTATACCACTGAGAAAATGTTTTCATATTTGTAATACGATTTTAGAAATAAAACATCTTCATTGGCTGTGAATTGGCATGTTCTCGGGTGTGGAGTTAAAACAATGATATACCCTTTATACATACCAGTAACTTAATATAACATGATGTACCCCTTTCTACTTGTACCATTATCAGTATCAACATATACCTAAATGTAGCTGCTAATATCCAAGATATTTTTGTGGAGCATCATCATAATCATTTTTCAGGCTTGTTTTAACAGTATTAACTTTTTAATCATAATCATATATATGTACTTACAATATCTACTGAAGTACTTCAGTTTACCAGTGTTAAATAATACATTACTTTCTGTTACCTCCATCAAATACCTCATTACTTTAATCTATCATTTTTTATTTAAAGGTTTTAAATGTCATGTATGTTAAATGCATTCAGAAAGCTCTGTGTATGTATTGTTCATTACAGTGTATATTTAATTTTATGTAAAAGAAAAGATAATGGGATATTTTGCTATTTCTATATTTTAGTGGTATATAAAGCATATAAAAAAATATATGGATTTTGAGTCCTCTTGCTCTAGATATGTATTTTGAAACATGTCTGAAAAAGAATATTATGAAAATAATTTAGAACAGTTACATACAGATATTTTTATGAGACCAATTTTTTTCACAAATGAAAAGTCAGAATAATAATCTGAAGACATATTAACTATGATGGGTACTGATTCCCTCTTTACCAAGTTTCTTTCTGCTCCAATACAGCAAATAGATAAAATCAGAAAAGGCAAATGTTTCATTATAGCTTGCAAATATGCAATAGATACTGCAGTAGAATGACAAAAAATGTGGAAGGTTGCGATGTCTCAGAATGCAAATTAACAGGAAAGGATCATCTGCAGAGAAAAAAATATTACTTTCCCTTTTGTATCATTTAGTTTTTTATCTCTCTTATTCAAAGGAATCTTTCATACCAGCCCTTTCTCTCTCCCTTAGTTAAGTCTTCTCAATAAGCTTTCACTTGCCTTTGGATTACTTAGCAAGTACTCCTCTGCATGCTGATGTATTTGGCTGTTTTCCTCATCTGCTGATTGTGGGTTTCCTCTCAGATAATTTACTTGAAAGGTTTTCTAGCCAAACAGATTTTGATTAATTAATTTTGATTGATTTCTACTGGGGAAATTTGCTCCCTAGGTGATTTAGTTGAAAGAAGGAATACATCTATGAAATTATCAATCTTATGGAAATTATTCCTGTATAGGTCTAACTTTTCTTGAGTTCAGTTACTGTTATTTATTGCATAGATTTGATTTGTCCTGTGTGGGTGTTCTGGACTTTAGGTATATAAAGAGTGATTTACCTAATAACTGTTTAGGGATAAATATATCCATATTTAGTTTCAGTTCTTAAGCTTGAGAATATAATAATGTTGAAAAGTTAGCTGTCATTAGCTGCTCTATTAAAAAAATCCTAGGACTTCAACTTGTAGTTGAATGGTATTGACAATATTGTTAACAGTCAAAACAACAGAAAAAAAGTTATGCATAAAACAGGTTCACATTTGTGTATTGTTTTTCTGCTGTAAGATTATTATGGTACTGTTTTGGCATTCATAGCAGGAGCATTTGGAGGCAGGGTCTTCTCTCTGTTTGTTTGGTATGCGTGTCAAAAATTAAGTACACATATAACCTCTTTTGAGTTACATGAATTTAGAGTTCTTTCTGGCGTAAATCAGCAATTTCATTGAATATATAAACCAGGCAAGCAGTTTATAGTTTATTTGGTATTTTATTTTACTACTGACTGGCTATCATTTTATTGTGTACTCTGGTGGTACTTTTAAGTTTTATCAGTGTCTCCATGCTTTTTATTTTGTAATTATTTCTGTATAGTTTGTAATTTGTTGTGTTAGTTCTTACTAAATCCTTTCTTATAAGCCTTGTTTTGTGTTCATTGAACAGAAAAGTAGTTCAAGCTGCTGGTACAGAGGCACTCCACAGCTAACCACTTTTTTTTTTCTTTGTTCTTTCTTTATAGGGAAGCCCCTCTTATGAAGAAAATTAACCTCTCATATGCAGAAGGTATAAACCAGTAAATTGGTAAAAACAACAGGTTCTAAATGTTTTAGAAAACTTATTTGAAAGATTATTAGATTTTTTTTTAGCTTTGTTAAGAACTGATCTTGCTTTAGAACCTATAAGCTTTAGGATCCTTGAGAGAGATTATTATACAAGAAAAGGTCATGATTTTATGGCTCAGTAACTTTTAACCAGTTATATTTCTACACCCACTCATGAAAGCTGGTGGTGTTCAGTCTTTCTGCAGTTAGCTGTCATCTGCAGATTCAGGAAATAGACTATAGTAACAAGGCTCAGTGTCTTTTCTTTTTCATATTGGATGATAAACTGAAATTTACAGAAAGCAAAAAGGTTATTGATATACGTAGATTACTGAGGAATAAGCCTAAAGTTGTATGTGTATATGTAAGTGCATGTGTATATGTATCTATCTAATTTTATATACGTGTGTGTGTGCGTGTGCGTGATACCACAATATAAATCAAAATTTTGACATTTATATATACATACATTGATCATATATTTTATGTTAGTCCATGTACTTTTTCTATGATTTTGATTGATAACATGATTTTAGGAATTCATCAACATGTAAACACCTGTTTTATATATCAGGCATAAATTAAAGCTAAAACAGCATTAAATATATTTAGTAATCCTCAGACTTAGCACCAAGACACCACCAAGCTTTTCATTTTTTTATATTGATTTTGTCAATAAAAAGAAAAAATGTATTGATATATTCATAACAGCAACATATTTTTGCATGTTCACTGAAGGTTGTTTGCAAGAACAGGAAAGAAATTGTATAAGTGAATATTTATTTTTCCAGTAAAGCAAATGATTATGTAGTTATGGTTTTACAAGCTTTATGGATATGAAAAATGAAAGAAATTTTATGAAGAGGAAAAGAAAGTGTATGTGAATATTTATTTTTTAAATAAAGCATATGATTTGCAATGCAATTATAGTTTTACAAGCTATATGAATATGGAAATTGGAAGGAAAATGATGAAATGGAAAACTTTGCAGCTAACACAAAGGTCGAAACAACATGAGGAATTGGGTTTACAATGTCAAATTCAGTAAGAAAGAAAGAAAGAAAGAAAAAGAAAAAAAAAAAAAAAAAAAAAAAAATATATATATATATATATATATATATATATATATATATATATATATATATATATATATATATATATATATATATATGAATAAATTAATCCCTTGCAGATGGGTTCCATAACATTATGCATGTCTAAGTAAAGAAACATCTCATAATATTACAGTTTGTGTTTTTACGGCCAAGTTCACAAACCTTGACAGAAAATAAATTGTCTAAAGGTATTACTGGGAACTCAAGTGCTCTCTGTCATGAGGCTGGCCACTGAGTCTCTGACAGTCGCAACCTGGCCAGAGGAAGTGAACTTCTAAAGTCCACACCCTCAGTCTCAAATTACTCCAGTTACTCCAAATCTACGCTTAAATCAATCAATCAGTCAGTCAGTCAGTCTCTCTCTCACTCACTCACTCACACACACACACACACACACACACACACACACACACACACACACACACACACACACACACACACACACACACACACACACACACACACACAAAATTTCTTTCTTCCAACATCTTTCATGCAAGCAGCCAACAGCTGATGGTTATCTGGCATAAGGAGTAAGGGGAGCCTCCAACCACCATTTATACAAACGGCCTCTTCCTCACTTCACATCCACCAGCAACCCTTTCCCATATTCATGCAACCCCACACAGTCAATAAAGTAAACAATAGATGTGTATATTTTCTTCGCTCATTACCCAATACTTTTGCAAGGTAAGACATGCTTACTTAAAATCTCAATGAATGAGAAAGGTATACATTTTCTGATTTCTGTTATTATCGGATGCTTTAATAGAGTTAAACATGCTGGCTTAAAATCCTGATTTATCTAGACTAAGCTTGTCAGTGAGTGCTGTGGTTACTCCAGCCCTTCTGCTAAGGGGTTAGGTAAAGATGAGATAATGAAATGAAAATTTAAAATATAAACCAGAAAATAATTAACAAAAGAAGGGGGAAAAAGAAGCCTTGATAAAAATCTATTTCTTTTAACCCTTTTCCTACAGGAAATACACTTAATGTTTTGAGATTATCATATGAACATCATTTGTGCAAGTTTGGAATTATAAACAATGCTGTGGCATAGGAGAAAAGAGAAAAGAAAACTATTTAGCATAGAAGTATCTGTAAGTAAGTAGTATCTGACTATTTAAGTATTTGTTTGTTCATTGAATCTAAATTTGCTTGTGAGCATATTCGCATGTTTTTTATATGTATATCTTGTCTTTGTACACACATGCATACATTTGTATAACCATGTGTAAAAGGTAACAAAATTTATGATATTAATTATAATACATTAAGGTTGCAGCAAAAGGGTTAACGATGCTTCCGAAAATACCTTTGAGTAGTTTATATGCCTCCCCAACAATAGTGAATTATCACAAAAGGAAAAAAAAGAAATTAACTATAAAAAAAGTTTATTTTCTTTTCTAGAAGATTATATGTTTTTCAAAATACATATGCATTTCACTAGTTAGCTTTCTATCCATAAGTAATATAAGCTTTGGCAAAATTTTTAGCAGCAAGAGAATGAAAATGCAATTTTTCTATATCAGAAAATGGTAAACGATCCCAAGTCATGCATATTTTTTACTTTTTATTTCTCTTCTTTCTTTCACTCTCTCTCCCTCTCCTTTCCTTTAATTTCAACCTTATAATGAGGCAAGCTGCTGCTCCAAAAGGGAAATTCTAAAACTACACTTAGATAAAAGGAGGAGAGCTTAGTCATCAGCCATCCACTGAGCGAATATGAGATTCACAGCAGCCTGTACATCGCCATTGGTGGCCTGGAGTGCCTGGCGACTCAGGTCCTCATCCAGGATACCCATTTCTCTCATGAGCTGCAAGTTCTCATCCA